CTTAAGTGGGAAACTTAATTGTTGACATTTCTAAGTTTGCACTGAAAGGATACCTTTCGGTGATATAGCACCTTATTTGGACTTTACAATAATGTAGTCTGGGATTAGCTGCAAATCTTGTAAAATGTGATTCAATGCCTATGCCAGTATGTAACAAGTATATAATTTCTTTATGATTTTGAACAGTTTCGTGGTTCGCTTGCAGGTGGGCCGGTGATCTCAGACTTCTGAGATCTAATTATCCCGTGGCCTAAGGATCCAAATTAAATTATTTTTAGCTTTCTAAAAAGGGTTATATTTGTAACTTTTTAATATATGTAAAGAAACACCCTAACTGATCGACTCAGCTCGCATTTACAATGGTACAGAAAACTGCATAGATCTGGTGAAAACATGAGAAACTATACTGTATATTTAAAATTATATCTAAAAATTATTGTATTCCAAGGATCCCTTCTAAAACACTTTGTGGGTTGAGAACATGCTGCTTAGGGTAATATTTGTAACACTGGCGAGTAAAAGGTAACTCAGACATCATACATGTAATATTTCTATTTATCGATGTCAACTTGAAAGTAAAGGTTGCACTTCAGAAGCAGCAGGGCACCTATTAAGTGTGAGAATATCACACTGTGTTTTTAAGTTACTTATGAAATTAATACAATAATTGTGTTTGATGTACTGTTTTTCTTAACAATTCTTGTTATTACTACAGTGATTTGTTTGTTTGTAGTGAAGCTATTCGTGCTGTGCTCACCACGGGTGTCGAAACCTGGTTTTTAGTGCTATAGGCTGTTATACTTTCTGCTGTGCCCCTAGAGGGCTACTCGAGTGGTGATCTGTTTGTCAGTTGTAGTTACACTGTCACACGCATGTAATAAGAAATGTAACCACTCATGAACAAAAATTAATATCGGCTATACAGCAATGATAGGAAAATCATCCAGTGGTAAATATCTTGTACGTTTTATCTTCTTGTAACTTGTGTGTAAGGGTTTATTTAGTATGAAGCTTGGTTCAGCGACAGCCGATATCTAGCCATACTGCTTTGGAGATTATCTAATTCTGAGCTGATACTACAG